AAAATACCGTATGTTTTATTTCAAAAGCGTTCTCATTTAACCATGCACCAACCAATCCGTTACAAAAATTGACACTCCAGAGATAATCATTTGATGAACAAAACTAAATGATCGGTAAATGTATCATAAATTTTATTTTTGGTGTGTATAGGAAGACATGGGAAGATGCAGATTAGATTGCATGTCCAGCATCTTGCAATATTTGTGAATGTATCATGTGTAGATTTTACCAATGATTTATAAGATAAGGTTATTTAACTGTGCACTATGAGATGAAGATTCCAATTTGAAGTCACACAAACTGTGAGGTGACCACAAGACAAGCATGTATTTCAAGAAGTGCAATTGAGTTTAATAGTCTGAGAAAGCAAACATTAGGGTTCGACTGATATGTCACCATATATGGATGTACAATTTGAATACCTGTATCTTATAAATTGTTGGTAGTTCATGTTACTAACAAAAAGTTAATCTATTGGAAGCTGATCTCTAGTGGAAGTGCTTGTAAGCCACACGTTTGTTTTGGCTGTATTCAAAGTGCATCTATCCTAGTAGTGATTTGTCATATGTTATGTTATATTTGCACTCAGACGTGGTATGTTTATTGGTGTTTTTTGACCATATTATTATACAATGTACTGGTATGAATATTTACAAGGGACAGGGAATATTTACCAAATTATTTAAGATTTTCTGGACACCGGAATTCGTCTACTTTTGATTCATTTTCTATGTTTGTTTATTAGCCCAAGTTCGTGTTTGAGTTGAATAACATCCTGGAACTACCAGTATAATTCATATCGAGGCTGAATTGTTAATTATTTCCCACATTTCATTCCTATCCACAAATAGTGTCAAATTATAGTCTCAAAACACTAAGTACCATCACTGAATGTAATTTTATCTGCTTGGTAGAATTTGTACCTAGTACCAAATGTTTCTGATAGTTAGCCTTGCAATACACTGGAGAATGTCTAGTAGTTGCACTGGATTCTTCATTTCAGTCATGTTTTATATTTCAGAGAGTTCAAGATGATCTAGCCATTCTTGATCTAGAAAAAACCATGAAATCACTGGCTGGTGGTGCCACGAGTGGTTTTAATGCACCTGACTATGTCGTAGGTGAAAATAAAAGTGTGGTGAAAGATGAATCCACTGGTTTTGGTCTGGTGAGTATATTACAGGCAGGGTAACCTCCCGCTAACCATTCCGGAAGTTTTCAATGAATCAATCAAAATTAGTCTTATATTTTTCATCTCGTATTATAATATTTTCTGAAATCTGTCTTTAGACAACAACAAATATTGTTCACATCAACTCATCTGTAACAGTTTCTGTGTTTTATTTCTATTATCTCATTTTAATTGCATTGTCTGTTATATTTTTTTGTTCAAGTTCTCTTATAACCTGGGTTTTTCTGTAATTACTGTTCCTGGGTTTTTAATACTTTGTCTAATTTCTTCTCAGATTTGAATTCATTGTTCCTGGGTTTAATGCCTAGGTATTTTTATCTACCAAACCAGGGCTAATCATTCATTCCCAGATTTGTATTCACCGTTCACAGCTGTTAATTACATTTGCACCAACCCATGTAATTTCTATTATGCTTTTCACGACTATAAAATAAAAAAATGTTACTATTACTAAATCAAACACCAAATTGCTTACTTTATGTTTTTTTTGTTAATTCAGCGATATTGCTGTATAAAAAAAAAACTTAACATGATTGGCATTTTTCTTATTGGTTAAAATCCTGTGTTATTTTAGCAGTGGTACATGTATCATAGTATCGAACTATCCGTTTATTGAGTAAAAAATGTAAAATAAAGCAATTTAATTTACACACACTCCATGTTGCAATTTTATTTTTAAAACTAAGACTGATTTTAATTACCTCCCAGATATACTAGCGACAGGTTGATATATAGTAAATTTATTCAGCATTGAATTCCAATTGCAGTAGGTGAAACAGATTAATGAAAATGAATAGAAGTGTCACATTATTCTATGGTGCAATCTCCGTAGGGGTGGGGTGGGGTGGGGTGGGGTGGGGGTGTAAAACATAAATCAAAATATATTAGGAAGGCCAGATGGATGTAATGCAAATTTTAATATATATAACAAAAATTGCTTGAAGGTCAGTATGAATACAAATAATTAAATAATGTTGCATAAAATTGAAAACACAAGCTTAATATTTAAAAAGTAATACATTACAAATGGTAAGACCACTGCTCAAACAACACCTGGGACTCATGACCAAAAAAAAGTACATTATATAATTACATGTACTCTGTTCCAGATGAA